CGCCGGGCCGCCCCGCGCTCAGCCGGTGAGCGCTGTGAGCGCACCGGTCATCCCTATATAGAATCCGAACCCGCGGCGGGAGTGCTCCCGCGCTCCCAGCGCCGCACCCTCCCGAGTGCGCCACGGGCTCGGCCCGGTGTTTTGTTTTTTAATATGAAATAATTTTCAGGAAAAGTCATATTAATAAACATTAGGTGTTTATATGTAAGAAATTGAATTATAGATGTTAATTTAATGGCTTTTTCTTTTTTTTTTTTTTTTTAATTTCTTTCAAAGGTTTGGGCCCCATGGGATCCCTGTGACAGTATTTCCCAAAAGGGAATATAAAGATAAGCCAGAAGCCATGCAGCTCCAAAGTAATACATTCCAAGAAGGGACAGAAGTCAAGCGTGAAGTGAATGGTGCTGTTCCTGATGACCCTTCTCCTGTCCCACCTCCCGAGCTGAGCTTGGCTGAAAGCCTATGGACTTCCAAACCACCACCTCTCTTCCATGAAGGAGCACCTTACCCTCCCCCTTTGTTTATCAGGGACACATATAACCAATCTATACCTCAGCCACCTCCTCGGAAAATTAAGCGACCCAAACGAAAAATGTACAGGGAAGAACCCACTTCAATAATGAATGCTATTAAACTACGACCTAGGCAAGTCCTGTGTGATAAATGTAAAAACAGTGTTGTTGCTGAAAAAAAGGAAATTAGAAAAGGTAGTAATGCAAGTGACTCTTCTAAATATGAAGATAAGAAACGGAGAAGTGAAAGTATAACTACTGTGAACAAAAAACTGAAAACTGATCATAAAGTGGATGGGAAAAACCAGAATGAAAGCCAGAAAAGAAATGCCGTGGTTAAGGTTTCAAATATTGCTCACAGCAGAAGCAGAGTAGTAAAAGTTTCTGCTCAGGCAAATACATCAAAAGCTCAGTTAAGTACTAAAAAAGTGCTCCAGAGTAAGAACATGGATCATGCAAAAGCTCGGGAAGTGTTGAAAATTGCCAAAGAAAAGGCACAAAAGAAGCAAAATGAAACCTCTACTTCCAAAAATGCACATTCGAAAGTCCATTTCACACGTCGATACCAGAATCCTAGCTCAGGTTCCCTTCCGCCCCGGGTTCGTTTAAAACCACAGAGGTACAGGAATGAAGAAAATGACTCTTCTCTGAAGACAGGACTTGAGAAAATGCGGAGTGGCAAGATGGCACCCAAGCCCCAGTCTCGCTGCACCTCTACCCGCTCAGCAGGTGAGGCCCCTTCAGAAAATCAGAGTCCCTCAAAAGGCCCCGAAGAGGCCAGCAGTGAGGTTCAGGACACAAATGAAGTGCATGTGCCTGGTGAGCAGGATGAACCACAGACATTGGGCAAAAAGGGCAGCAAAAGCAATATCTCTGTTTACATGACCCTAAATCAAAAGAAATCTGACTCTTCCAGTGCTTCAGTGTGTAGTATTGATAGCACAGATGATTTGAAATCTTCCAACTCTGAGTGTAGCTCTTCTGAAAGCTTTGATTTTCCTCCAGGCAGTATACATGCACCTTCCACCTCCACTTCCTCCTCTTCAAAGGAAGAGAAAAAGCTCAGTAATTCCTTGAAAATGAAAGTCTTTTCCAAAAATGTCTCTAAATGTGTCACACCAGATGGCAGGACCATATGTGTAGGGGACATTGTTTGGGCCAAGATCTATGGCTTCCCTTGGTGGCCAGCCCGTATTCTTACTATAACTGTGAGCCGGAAAGACAACGGCCTTTTAGTCCGGCAGGAGGCCCGTATTTCATGGTTTGGGTCTCCAACAACATCTTTCCTTGCTCTTTCACAACTCTCCCCCTTTTTAGAAAACTTCCAGTCACGCTTTAATAAGAAGAGAAAGGGCCTGTATCGCAAGGCTATCACAGAGGCAGCTAAGGCTGCCAAGCAGCTGACCCCCGAAGTGCGGGCTCTGTTGACACAGTTTGAAACGTGAACATGGACAGTAAGGTAGGCAAGAACCATTGGAAAGCACCATGGATTTTCTAGTCTAGTTAGGAATAATTTCTATGAAATAGCTTGGCCAAATTGGAGAGAGAAATTGCACTCAGTTGGCTGGCTTTTTATACTTAACCTTATAGCCATTTTTAGACTGAGAAGCTTAAACTGTACATGCAATCAAATTTTGTCTTAAGGAAGTGAAATTTTAGCAGTCTCTTTCAGTTTTGAAGTCTAAAACCATCCCAAGGCATAGGAGCCATAGCCTCAACTGAAAATGAATTTTTACAGGGACTGTTAATTGCCATTTGTACCTAATACTGTATATATATATATATATATATATGTACACACATACACATATATATAAAATATAGCCTGTCACTATGTGACACAGGTTGCATATTGGATTTTAGTAAGGGCTGGTGAACTGGGGAAATAGTGTGGATATTTAATGACCACTTGTTTTTAATTAACGAACACTTACCCTTTCTATGCACATAATGGTGTAAAAGTTGGAACTTAGGTGTTCCACAAACTGAGATGCTTGCTATTCAGTTACAGACTGGGGAAAGAGCCTGGTATTCGGGATTAAAACTGTCAAGACTGGATAGGTTTCTCTTGTCCAATGGGGATTTCACAAAAACTTTCAAGCTTCTGGTTTGGGAGTTCAGATAGGTTTGGTTTTGGATATGTAAATAGTTGATTGATGAATTTGGTCAGATTTCTCCTGACTGGCTATTCCTAAATTCTTAGGATACGTCCTAGTAAATTACACTTTGTGAATTAATTGTCGTATGTGTAATTGTTGCATTTTGGATGTACCTAATTTGACAGTTTTTAAAAAATATTTCCGTTTAAGGTATCTGTTTGCAGGTCAGAAAATGAAAAAATGTATTTGTGTAATGCTCTGAAATGTAAAAAAAACCAACAAAAACGCTGTAAATAAAATCAACTAAATCCAAATTATTTGTGTGTGTTTCTCAAAAAGCTTTGAAAAGTTTCAAGGTGGTAGAAAATTATTCTATGCAACAGTGTTTAGAAGAGGTGGGGAAAAAATCAAAACTTTTATTTTGCTATTTGCCCTCTCGGAATATATTATCTGAGAATAGTTAAAATTCAAATAACGAGATTAATTAGTATTTTCTTAATATGAAGTATTGTAGTATAGAGGTCTAATATGCTTTTAGATTTGATACTGCCCTTCCTGGCAATCTCATAGATGTGTGGGTTTTAATATTTTCATTTTAAGCCTTAATGTTTCATTACATGCTTCATTTTTTTACATTTGGGTAATTATAGCTGGTCTCATCTGTTTGGTCTTCTGCCTCAGGTATCACTGCTTTTGGGGCTAATAACTTAGTTTACTACTTTTCTACATGGTTCATCTCTCCCTAAGATTTGATTTCTTATTTTCCATTTTTAGCTTTGTATTGTGAGTGAAAAATATATCTGATTGCCTGTGGAGGCATGGTTATCCCAAGATTTTTTAAGTTGCTCATACTTTTTGTGTCTAACTTCTAAATTTGATGTAATTTCAATTTGATACTTTTGGAAACTTGAAACTTTTAAAGAGAGCAACTTTTTGTGGATTTCTGAATAATCCAATTTGAAATATCTTAGTTACTGTGCAGTCAATAATGAAAAGATTAATGGAGATTGAAAATCAATAGGCTTCTGTCAGCTTCCTTAAGGTTATGGACTTTGATTAATAATTTCTGCAAAAGCAAGTAGGATTTCTTCTGGGGAACTCAGTCAATGCTTTTTGATTATAATGAACACACAATTTAAAAAAGGTGTTTCACTTGAATAGAACATATTCTTTCCTGCAAACAGAAACAACTATCTTATTTTTAAAATTCTTTGATTGATTATAACAAGTTGAAAGTTCACAGTGTGATTGAGGGATAAGAAAGTATCTTCAAAGATTTTCTGAGTACTTGTTTCAGGTTAATGAACTGTTCATTCACGTCTTTTTGAGAGTTTGAAACCTAAAGTTCAGAAAGATCTAAACAAAAGTCAACTAAGAACCTAAGATATATAATACCAAGGCTTTGTGTAATGATCTGGGTGAATTTTATCTTAACATAGTGGTTTTGAAAGGGGATATTGCTAATACAGTCAGATGCTTTGGCAAATGTGCTCTCATGGCATAAACCAAATTTGGTTTGTTTCAGAAGCCATGGGGGAAAAGAAGAAAGAAAACAATAAAATCATGATTGTGTAGTTCTAAAATAATAATCAATTTTTTAGTCCATACCTTTGAGGAAAAGGTTGAAGCATAATAAATTTGCATGATCTACTTTTCATGTCAAATGATCCCTCAACTTTAAATGGGCAGTCTGGCATGTTTCATCTGAAGTTTCAATAGGCAAACAAGTTGAAGTATTTTTGTAATCTTAAAATGTATATTCTAAACAGTAATTAAATAGTTGTATATTAAACAATGTTTTATTCAAATAGAAGTCTCAGGCAGTTAGATAAATTCGTCCAGTATCTACTGCAGATGGAAAGAGTTGACTTGAGTAATTGTAGTCACCTTTATATTTCTCTTTGAAATGATAAAAGGAGGGACTTACTCTTTGTGTAGAGATAACCCAAATGGGTATTTTTCTCCCCTTGCAGACAGAAAATTAGGCTTAGACCAAATCTCTAATGGTCTAACAGAAGTGACTAAAACAAAGGATTAGTGAAAGGGAGAAAACAAGTGAAGTAAAGAGCTGTGAAAGCTAAGAATGTCTATTTCTAGAAATTCTAAGAAATTTAAAGCATCAGTACAGACCAGGAAGCTGACTGGTCATTTGGAAGGGACATCTATTCAACTTTCATTTACACATGTGGAGTCAAAGACTTAAAAGATATCAGTGAGATAGTTAGGGAAATGAGGATTCAGTTGTCAAACTGATGACTAAAATCAGCTATATAAACATATTTCTGTTAGTGTTTGAGTTTCTAAATTACAAAAAAATTGAGTAGCACCCCTATTTAAGGAGGTTGTACCTTTCTAAAAATTGGTTATGTTGAAGGAAAGATACACATTTAAAGAGATGGCCAGTTTTCCTTTATATAGAGTAACTGAATTGGGAATTGGAAATAACCTTAAGAAATGTATAATTTGGGTCTAAAATAAGATTTTTGCTTTTTAAATCGTGAATTTTCTATGGTTTGTACTGCATCGGTCCACTTTTGTTAGTACTCAGCAGAGAAGAGGTAGGCAAATGTCTAGAAAAGTTGATGTTTTGGCTTTTGTGCCCATCAGTGGTCTCCAGTGGGGAATTTGTCAGACAGAACTGAGACCCAATTTCTATGTTGGGGCAAATTTAGATTTTGCTTTGGAATTGTACTAACATTATAGGTTAAACATCCCTAATCTGAAATCCAGTACGCTCCAAAATCTGAAACTTTTTGAGTGCTGATGTGATGCTCAAAGAAAATAAATGCTCATTGGAGCATTTCAGACTTTTGTATTTTCAGATTGGGATGCTTAACCTGTTCTATTACTATCTGCAAATATTCCCAAATCCGAAAAAAATCTGAAACAGTTCTGGTCCCAAGCATTTTGGATAAGGGATACTTAACCTGTATTGCTATTAAAACAATCTCTAATAGAAATGCCTGATATAAGGGAATTCAGAAATAGAACAAGAGGCTGGTGCCATCCCAATTGCCAGGAGAAAATAAAAGAGCTAAGCAGCATTACTTTTACATGGTTCTGACTTAGTTAATAGGCTGTTCCTATTCTGTATTTATAGTTTGTATACACTTATTTTATTCCTTCTCTCAACAAAGAGTGAATAGAATTAAAAAATGAAAGCATTAGCAGTTAATATGCTCATGCCATTTTGAATAAAGGAATAGGAAGTTTAATGTCATAGTGATAGATGATCTATATATTTTTAGTGTTCCAGGGTATCTTGGTGTCTTTACAACGGATAATTGACAGTAAGATCAGAAGAGAAACAACTCTTTAATCTGTACTCAAGTAAGAGACTTAACATTTATAGATACAAACAGGATTTTTTTCCTTTTCTTGTGGCATTAGGTGGAAATCAATTTCTCCTTGTCATTAATAGAGCACTGTAATTTTTCTGTGGTATTTTAAAAGTTGTGGTTAAATAGACAACAAATTTACCATATTAACTTTTTTTTTTTTTTTTGTCTTTTGTCTTTTTCCGTGTCCGGCAACGGATCGCAACCCTCAGTGTTGCCCCCGCACCGGACCGGGGACCGGCAACGGGATTGCAACCCTCGGTGTTGCTCCCGTGCCTCACTCAGCCAGTGA